AGGCTAAGGGACCTGAACCTGTCCACAGGAGACGGCTGAGGGGGGATCTAGTGGCCGTTTACAACCTAGTCGGGGGGACCAGCAGGCATTGGGGGAGTCCCTGTTCCCCCGAGCACTACCAGGAGTGACAAGAAATAACGGTCACAAGCTGGCAGAGGGTACATTCAGACTAGACAGCAGGAGGCACTACTTCACAGTCAGGGTGGCTAGGATCTGGAACCAACTTCCAAGCGAAGTGGTGTTGGCTCCTATCCTGGGGGTCTTTAAGAGGAGGTTAGATGAACACCTTGCTGGGGTTGTTTGACCCCAGTACTTTTTCCTGCCAGGGCAGGGGGTTGGACTTGATGATCTGCTCAGGTCCCTTCCGACCCTACCAACTATGAAACTATGAAAGACAAGTCCAAAATGCTGCACCTGGGCAAAAGTAACCACCAATATGCTCACAGGCTGGGGGATGACCTTCTCAGCAGCGGAAAGGGATCTTGGAGTCATAGTTGACTCCAAGATGAACGTGAGTCATCAATGTGATGAAGTGACCAACAAGGCTAACTGCACTTTATCATGCATTAGCAGGTGCATGATGAACAGGTCCAGGGAGGTCATGCTTCCCCTCTATGTGGCACTGGTCAGGCCGCAGTTGGAGTACTGCATCCAGTTTTGGGCGTCATACTTCAAGAGGGATGCGGAGAATCTTGAGAGGGTTCAGAGGAGGGCCACTCATATGGTCAGAGGCATGCAGGCAAGGCCCTACGAGGAGAGACCAAGGGACCTAAATCTCTTCATCCTTTGCAAGAGAAGGCTGCGAGGTGACCTTGTGGCTGCCTATAAATTCATCAGAGGAGGGCATCAGGGAATAGGAGATGCTCTATTCACTAGGGCACCGCCTGGAGTAACTAGGAACAATGGCCACAAATTGATGGAGATCAGATTTAGGTTGGACATTAGAAAGAACTTCTTCACAGTAAAGGTTGCCAGAATCTAGAATGGGCTTCCAAGGGAGGTGGTGCTCTCCCCTACCTACCCTGCATGTCTTCATGAGGAGACTGGACAAGCACCTAGCTGGCGTCATCTGACCCCAGCGCTCTTTCCTGCCCATGGCAGGGGGTTGGACTCGATGACCTACTGAGGTCCCTTCTGACCCTAATATCTATGAATCTATGAAAGCTGGTAGAATGAAAATATGTTACAGTTTTCTTTGTGGATCCAAGTTCATAGGAATGCCTAGGGTCCAGAGGAGGGAAGAAAGGTATGATGCAGCTTAGTACAGGGGTGTGAAAGACGCGGCGCACAGAACCGTATTATCTAGCCCACAGTGCTACATGCCACAACGCAGTGCATGCTGGCACATGAAACCTATCTGGCATGGGTTACAGATGGCTTGGGACTGGTTTGGGACACACTTCATGCAGTGCCTGTGGCAGACTGGCCCTGCACACTGGATCTGGGGCTGATCCAGATCAAGCCCACAGGCTAACCCGACCTGCTGAATCTAAAACACAGTGTGTGCCATGTTTGGGGCTGGGGCAGGTGCGTGCTACATATGCACAGGCTGGAGCCAGCACACATGCTGCAAGCAGCACACACAACCTGTCTAGGCTGCATGCTGCATGCAGCACCTGCTCTGGACCAGCCCTGCGGACTGGATCTGGCACATGGGGCCGGCCTGTGGGCATGATTCAGCCCGCAGACTGGCCCTGTGTTTGGCACAACTAAGAGTGTCCCTAACTGAATCCTTGAGGAGAGGTACAATAGGAAAAATAGAGAAGCAACTCCTTTTTGCCTTTAAGGAGTTGCCAGATGACCATCAATGAAACCTAGAAGTTGTTTTAAAGAGGTTATAGCATATTGTAAATGAAAGGGCTGGAAGTAATGAACTTATTGTAAATAGTGTTAGAGAAACCAGAATTGCAGAATGCATAGGAAGTTAGTTTTGCTAGCCAACCTAGCAAAGAAAACTTTTGCTTCTTAATGTATTGGAAATGAGGACAAGGAGAAAGTAAGCACTGCTATCCTTTTGGCCAAGAACTCTGCATAATTGCATAATGGTATTTTAATGAGAGAGAGAGGGTTGAAATTATGACAGAATATACAGTACTTAAAAGATTTATGGTCCAGAGCTAGCTTGAGACCACTGTTTTTTTTACTTCATTTTGTGGTTGACAAAAGCAAAATCCCCCAAAGTTGACTTGTTAAATTACATTCAATGTGTTTTCTTCTCTCTCTTGGAACAGCTGCAGGACTATAGATATAACTACTGGGAAGGAACTTGGAGCAGATATTTCTGTATATAAAAACTAATTTTAAGAGAATATTAATATGCCAACAGCAGCAGAAACCCTTGTGTAACTAGTAATGAAAAATCATCAATTATTTCTTTCTCCTGGCACTTTTTTTGAAAAAAGGGAACTAAAAGTAGAGTCTGCTGCTCCCATATACAACACCTGGCACAGGAGGTCACCTTCATCCCTCAACAACCTTGGGAAGCTCATACTCTCAAAGCTGTTTATAATCATTATGCCCATTACTCAGGCCGGTCAGTATTCCAAAGTTTCAGTGACTATTGATCTTGTCTGTAGCAATTTCTTGTCAGTTTCTCACTTCAGTTATTATAATAATAATAATCACTTTGTGATTTTGCTGCATCTTGCCCCTTGGTTCTGCAAACCTTTAAAAGTTCAAGTCTTTATTACCCTACTTTCTGCATTCTTGCACTTTATGTTTTTAAAGCTAGTGTCTTCCTACATATGATTTGGTTGAAGTAGTCTTCTTTGGTTCTCTCATGATTCCCTTGGCTACTTTCATTCCATACCGAATCCCATTTTATAGCATAATTCTTTTTGAGAAAAATATAGTGAAATTGCCATTCTTCATCACTCAACGCATAGTTTTCCCCTTATCTTAAATATCCAGTGTTTAGCATACAGTTTTGGGGGGAGGCGGGGGGGTTTGAACATTTTTGCTATTCTCATATACCATACTTGGTTGAAATACTTAATGATTATAAAGAGCTTTGAGAGTATGAAGTGCTACGAGTGCTTAGTATTATTTCCTTCCTTAAAAATAATACCAGGAATTAATACATCAATACATATTTCCTGTAGCTCTGTGCAAATAAACCATTCAGATAAAGTGTTAGGAATTTCTACCTTATTATGGACACAAATGTAGGAAGAATCATTTTGATAATCCAAAACATTAAAAATGAAACTGAGAAGAAAACGAAAAATAAATTTTACTACACAAATGCCCAAGTCTCCAGATAAAACCCCTTACCTTTCTATCAAAGGTAATATTACAGTCAATCAATTGTTGTTAGAAACAGACTAATGTTCCTTGTAAGAAATTACTGTGGGACCTTGTTGATGGGAAGAAGATTCTATTCAAATTGTACTACACTACACAGGGATATGTTGTGGGTTTGGTTCAGGTAATTTATTTCACCATTGGGTCATTTCAGTTCCCATCAAGTAGCTCCAGTGAATGTCTTTTATTTATAGCACTAGAGAGATGCCAGTTCATTAAACAGTGTTTCATAATGGATCAAGTAATCCATTTATGAGTTAGAAACAACTCTACATTCAACATAGCTGTTAAAGCCCAATTCATACTCGGTCTCTTAGAAGATTTATTCTGCCTCTCTCTCAGAAAAAGTTAATCAATTTTTACATAGGTGAGAGGTGCTAGATGGGTGAATTTGGAATCTAAAGGCAAGATTTTTTTTTTCTACCTGTTGGACATCCAAGTGACTTTATATGCCTGTTTTTACCCTGCTCGAGTCCCCAAAAATTCATGAATGCATCTACTTTCATAACATGCAGTCCTCTGATCCTTACAACTGAGTCATACAAAAAATAGCAAAGAGGAGTATCCACCTGCCTCCTGTAATAAGTTTTTCAGGGACTCAAACAGGGTGGAATAAATTCACCCTTAGGTACCGAAGCCTACCTATGCACTTAAATGGGTGAAATTAGAATCTGGCCCTCAAACAATGTATCAATCAAACATTTATAGCCCAAGCATCCCTGAAATTGTCCTTTCAACTTTGTCAACTGTGCCTGTGATGGGCCATCTCCAGAGCTAGATAACTCTCTGAGAACGTTTCTCTTTGTCTTTTCTGCTGAAACACTCAGAGCTGACTGATTGTGATAATGCATATTGTAATGTAGGCACAAGCAGCAAACAAAACCCCTTCAATTTCTTTAATAAGTCATCAAGCAGCAGCCTTGTGTCTCCGAGTCGCAACAGGCCTGGACTAGCACCTTAATCTGCAAACTAGAGGTGGAAGTCTCCATAGCCCATCCACATCTTTTGAACCATCTAGCCTTCCATTAATATGCTAAAGAATATAAGGCATATGTTTGTAGCTTGCTAGTCGAAATAAATGCTTATAATTTAGATATGGATAGAATCATAGGATCTGAGACAAGTAGAACTAGAAGGAGCCTCTGAAGGTTATCTAGTCTGTGTTCCTGCTCCAGGCAGAAGCATCCCTATCTGCATCATACTATACAAGTGTTTGTTTATCCTATTAACTGCATGAACTCTTGCACAACTACCAGGCACAATGCCCCAAAGCACCAACAATACCCTAATTTACTAGATAAAGCAGGGGGATCAGGGCTGTCAATTTTTTTGTTACTGCTGTTTGTTAAAATACACTCAAAAGATCTCAAGAAGGACTGTGACTTCTGCCTCAGAGTAAGGCAAAAACACCCCTATAGTTCATGCTGATTTGACTGTGCAGTAAAATTCCTTCCTGACCCTGAGTGGTGGAGCAAGACCCTCTCATCAGGAACCTCCAGGTTTTTTTTAGACCCAGCAGGAGTATTGGCATACCCCAGTCAAAATCCCCAGCCTCGGGGGCACCCAGCGCTGGGGATGCATACAGTATCCTAGCCATGTTTCTCTCTGGAGTCGCAGCACATTTCCTTGGTATCTCTGAGTATATAGAAATGTAAATATTAATATGCTAATTATATTTGTTTTCATTTTTCATCTAGGTACTTCCTTTCCCTAGCCAAGTGGTGTACAACAGAGTTGGAAAGTGTGGGAGTAGAACTGTGGTTTTACTTTTGAGGATCCTCTCAGAGAAACATGGGTTCAACCTAGTCACATCTGATATACATAACAAAACTAGACTGACCAAAAGTGAACAGGTAAGTTGTTTGTGTTCATTTACTTTACTGTAAAGTTAGAAAAGAAAAAGATAGGTCTAGTGATGTCACACTGAAAATATTCTGCTATCCTATTTGAATTAAAGTTGTTTTGGTTAGTGGGAGAAATTGTTGTAGCCAGGTTTCTTTGAAGAAATCCTGTTTGTTTATCAAGGGTGTACAAGGTCCTTGAATAAAGCAGAAATTAAATAATAAGAGAGTTTCTTTACTTACAGCCAGAACTTGGCCCCAACACTTTTTTTCAGGACCATGCTACCAGTGCTGTTATGTCAGTGTCTGAGCTTTCCTTAGTTTCTCGCTCTCCTGTGGTTTTTTCTGTCTCTGACACTTTTCCCCTCTGCCCAAAATGGTAAATCAGTCGGCTGTCCCTCGATATGAGAATTATGTCTGCCGAGGGGTGGGGATTACAGGTAAATTTTAAGGTGTCTGAGAGTCTGATCTGTGCTCTACAAGTTTTTCCATAGATATGATAAATGATGCCCTGGGGGGGGAGGAGGGGGGAGCAACTGTTGGCTAGGATGTTGTGTGTTTTCCTTCCTCTTTTGTTATTTTTCGGATTCCTGAGCAAGACGGTTCTCTTCGAAGTGGGCTCTGCCTTGATGTATGGTGCAGTGTCATTAGACCTGTTACCAGTCAGCACTTCCTAGTTTATAGGGATGATGCTACCCTTCTTACGTTACGCTTTCAGGATGTCCTTGTAGGTGTTCCTCTATCCTCTGTGGGTCCTCTTACCATGACTAAGTTGAAAGCAGAGGACTTGCTTTGGAGCTGAGTGTCAGCCATCTGCACAAAGTGGCCAGCCCAGCAGAGTTGATGTTTTGTGATCTTTACCTCAATGCTGGTTATACTAGCTGCGAGAGGGTCCTGGCATTGGGGCCTTCCTATGTAATGCAGAAGATCTTCCTGAGGCAATGCTGATGGAACTGTTCGAGGTGCTTAAGATGGCTTCAACATATCACCCACATCTCACACCCATAGAGGAGGGTGGGGATCAGCACTGCATTATAGACCAGAATCTTAGTTTCCATCTGCAGCTCTCAGTCAGCAAAGACACAGTGAAGCAGCTTTCCAAAAGATACACTGGCACAGCGAATCCTATGTTTGATTTCTACATCAAGAGTGATTGAGTGACTGGGAGAGGTGACTGCCAAGGTATGGGAAATGCTCAGTGTTTTCCACAGGTTCTCCATCAGTGATAATTTGTTGAGGGAGGGAGGCAGCTTGTGCTGGGGCAGGCTGATGGAGTACCTTGGTCTTCCCAGTGTTAAGGGAGAGTCCCATGCTGTGATAGGCACCTGAGAAAAAGTCAAGGCTTGACTGCAGATCAGTCTCATTGTGTGTGAGGATAACACAGTTGTCAGTGTACTGAAGGTCAGTGATGCCAGTCTTGGTAATTTTTGTTTTGCTGTGAAGGCAGTGCAGATTGAAAAGCTTGACTGTCTATTTGATATTCAATCCCAATTCTGGGAGGAAGGCGGTCATGGATGAGAATCAAAATTACAGCAAGATAAGGTGGGGAAAAAAAGGTTGAGACTATGATATAGCCCTGCTTGACACCAGTACATATGATAAATGGGTCTGTCTCTGATCCATTGTAAAGGACTGTGGTGGTTATCCCATCATGGAGTAGCCGGAGGACACTGATGAACTTCAGTGGACAAACAAACCTAGCCAGCACCTTCCATAAGATTTCAAGATTGGTGGAGTTGAAGGCCATGGTTAGGTTAATGAGTGCCATAAACAGCTCCTGGTGTTGCTCACTACACTTCTCCTGGATCTGTCGTGCAACAAAAATTACGTCGGTGGTACCCCAAGGTGGTCTAAAGCCACACTGGGATTCTGGAAGGATATCTTTGGCAAGTGGGAGGAAGCAATTCAGAAGGATGCGAGTAAGAATCTTCCTGGCAATGGAGAGGAGGGCAGTGCCTCGGTAGTTCCCACACACTGACTTGTCCCCTTTCTTGAAAATGAATTTTAAGTCTTTAAAATTCATTTTCAAGAAAGGGGACATTCTTTTAAGTCAGGTGGAGCTTCCTCATGAACCCATATTTTGATGAGAAGTTGGTGAAATTTTTGTGCTACTGCTTTTCTACTAGCTTTGAAGACCTGCAGGGATGCCATCTGGCCCTGGCACGTTATTGTTCTTGGTCTGAGTGATGGCACGCCAGACTTCCTTGAAGGATGGAGGATCAGCTAGAGGTTCTATTACTTGGTGTTGAGGGACGGACTCGATGGTGGTAGCTGAGATGTCAGATTCATAGTTGAGTAGAGTCTTGAAGTACTCCTTCCAGTGTTGCTTGATGGATACATTGTCTGTGGGAAGGGTGGAACCATCCTGGGATCGCAAGGAGGTTGGGCCATTAGAATGTGGCCTTGTGTATGTTTTTTATTGTTTGAAAGAGACTTCTCATGTCATGTTGGTCAGCAAAACTCTAGATCTCCATGGCCTTTGCTTACCACCGCTGGTTGTTAGCCCGTAGCCTCCTCTGAACTACAGCTTCGAGCTGGTGATAAGTCTCTTGTTTTTGCTGGTTGGAGGGTTGTGGCGGGGCATATTTGGTGCCCACCACTTTAAGGGGCTTGAGCAGGCTGTGGAGCAGCCAGTAGGTGCGGTTAGGCCCAATTATGCAGTCACATGACCGTAAGAGGGGAACTCAGATTGAATGAGGGCTGGGCAGCTAGGGTATAAGCCCAGGCCCTAGGAGCTGAGCTGGTAGTTGCATCTAGGAAGCCAGTGGAGCAACATCACACAGCCTGAGGAGAGCAGCTCCTAGAACATCTGGAGGTTAGCGTAGGAACTATAGGGATAGAGGAGGTTCCTGTGGTCCTGGGTAAGACCTGAAATGACACCCTGTGGGGGTTGGATGGTGTGGTGTGGCAGTCTTCAAGAAATGTCACACCTGTGCCTCCCCAGTGAAAGGCAAGGATGGGGCACCATAAAGCCTCAGCCCCCTCTGCTTTGTGGGTACCCTGTGGAGGGGGAAAGCTAGGAGAGGACTGTATAGTCACAGCCGCAGATGCCAAATTGTACTTCTGTGTCTGTAGGTTATGGCAAAATGACTCTCACACAACCGTTTCTGTCCCACTGCCACTCATCCGTCGCCACAGGATTTGGTTTGTGGGAGATGTTAACATCCCTGGCAGAGTGCTGTGCATGACATCTTTTAATGTGAGGAAGCCGGTGCGCAAGTGACAAGCACATGAGCTTGACAAGAAGGAGCCCTGAACACTGGCAAGGATCTCCAAGACAATTGGAGACCTCCATCCCACTGTAGCCCTTATCCACCTTCACAGCCAAAGAGAACCAGCAGGTCTTCAAATATGCCTGTTCCACCATTGGGGTCTTCAGGAGTTTGGACCATGCTTAGTCTGGAACCTCACCTCAGATTCATTCACCAGGGGAGACCCCACTAGGAGTTCAAGACTCCAGACAACATAGCTCTGAGGGTCATTGGAACACACAAGCCTCTCCACCATGACAAGGTTACAGTCCAAGGAGAGGGTCCAATATTACATGTTACCCCTCTTCACAAGACAATACACAGAAAGGCCCCTCTGCCTATATGCATCTGTGTTTTTTGGGTCAAGTTTCTATCATTTTGGTTGTCTGGTTCCATAACGGTGTAGAACAGTTGCTTAACTTTATCCAAGGGAAGGGCAATGAATACACCACCAGTTTTCATAGCAAGCCATAACAATATTATAGATAAGATAGAGTTTCTAAATCCCAGTTACCACTTGAAACTGCAGCTATAAAAGTCTATTACATCATCTTTTTCATTAAGTATTAATATAAATAATACCAAAACAAAACCTTTACAAGGCACTCAGTCAGGTATCCTGCGTGTACATTTCTCTGCTGAAAGGCTGTTCTTTTTAGTGCTGATTCAGGTAAATGTTGTAATAGCTGCCTGCATCACTGATAAAATTAGCCATGTGTAAACCACAAAAAGAACAAGGTGCTTAACTTACAAATTACAAGGATGTTAATGGCACAGTGCTTTAGTTAAGGATTGTTTAGATGTATTTAATTTTAAGCTCGTGTTATAGATCTATTTTTAGGAGTAATAGTCTACTCCAAAATAATTCTTGACAAATGGTTTTACAGTTGAATAAATTTATTCTCGGGTTTCTTTTTTCCTAATTTTCAGAATGAGTTGTTTTACTCTTTTTAGGCTGTGTGCACAAAAAAAGAGATATGGTAGTGTCTCGGACGGCCAGAGCCGACTCGAGTTACGTTAGAAATTGGTCGTACGTTAGGGCGGGCTGGTGAATGGAGAGGCAGACACAACTTATTGGTTGTAAAAAACTTTACTCACGCCGCTTGCAATCACGACGCAGGTGGTCGGGTCGTCGGAACAACCACACGAGTTGTTCCAGCTGGCAGGGCCCAAGCCAGTTAATCCATCCGCAATTCGAAGCCGGCAGGGAAAGGGGTACGTCAGGGTTGCACTCGGTGACGGGAAGAAAGATCGATAGGTGATCAGTCTATCAATCGGCCGCCGCAAGTCAGATAACTTCAGAGGCACTGTGCAGCGTGCTCAGAGCTCTTCAACTGGGGCGGAAGTCGCGCAGATTTTTAACCGGCCAGCGAGCCAATTACTAGCCGCCACGTGTGAATAATTTAGCACTGGCCAATAGCAGGGCACAAATTTACATCTGAATAGCGGGAACTCTTTGCACCGTGCATTTCTGTGCTGCAAAGAAGAAATGCATCCTGCAAAGGAAACTGTAAATTGGCGGGAACTCTCCTGCACGCAGGCTCTCAATTGCAGCAGAACACTCTGCCGTGCAAAGGAGCTCTCATGTGGCCAGGAAATTCCATCGTGCCGAGGCACAAAAATCACTGGGTTGTGACAGGTAGGAGAATTATTGTGGGCCTATTAAGAAAAAAAATAAAGTTCTTTAAACTTTCATAGATTATCATGGAAAGCAGTACTGACACATTTGTTTTTCATTATCTTGATGAGAACTTGCTGTTC